GTATATATATGTATATGTATGTATATATATATATATATTTGTGTGTGTGTGTGTGTGTGTGTGCGCTTGTTTAATCGTCATACGCGCCTGTGCATCAGTAAACAAATGATATATTTGATAACGACATGCATATTACTTCCGTCCCGTTTTAGATGATCTGATACAGAAGTGGCATACATCAACGCACGCAGCATCAATCACTATCTATCTCCGCCACCCCGGAGGGGCAGGGATGTCGCTATAACTTGCTGAGTGTTTGATACAACACTTACCTATTCAACATTTACGTTTTTAACACTTACGATTTTAACATTTAAGTTTTTAACATTTACATTTTTAACATTACGTTTTTAACATTATGTTTTTAACACCTACGTTTTTAATGATCTGAGGTATCCTCGACGACAGGTAAAAGGCAGCGGAGGCGATACCCAACATGTAGCCAATCTCATTGGTGGTCATACCCTGCAATGATAGAGCATACAACAATACACATGTCAATAAGGCGAACATGCAACGATGAGTGACAATACATACTTAACCTAATCAGTATCACGAATAATTGGTTACTACGTGGTTGTACACCTCATGTGCACGGTTACACAAGTTAATAAGGTGAAAATACAACAATGAGTGACAGTACATACTTAACTTAACCAGTATCACGACATACGTGGGTATAGGAATTGGCACATACGTGATTGTACGCCACATGTACATGGGCATGCCAGCTTAACCAAGTATAGGCATCATTATATGCTTCTCTACGGATTGCTACTATTAGGAGCTGTAGGTAGTAATGCCTACTTGCAAGCATATAAATGTAGTTTACGACACTACGAGTTGCCATGGCGACGAGTGATGTGGTCTGCTTGAAGCCATTGCCATCGTGACACACCCTATAGCCATACCAGCAGTAAACTACAGACACTCATTACAACGTGTACACGTACATCCATGCATCTTACAGTCATATACATATGCAGGCACGTATACGTACGTGTAGGTCCACCACAGTATGACTAGATAACACGTTAAGTCATATACACTCACATACATACACACACCGGAGCACATACATACACACACCGGAGCACATACATGCACTCGTATGGAAATATCCACCACAGCTGCACCCAATATCCTTGGGCACGCATACGTCTATATTCTGTATAGTACACAATACGTATACGTATCTAGTACGTATAGTACAGATGTCTGTTCCGTATACGTATCTTAAACGTTTCCGTATCTATTGTACACCAAATCACAACCAAATACGCATTGAGGCATGCACGTCACACTCTCTCTTGCGCTCTCTCTCTCTTACAGCGCCATTATCAGCATGCACTTGCACCTATGTATAATAAATACACATACACACACTTACAGAGCCATTATCCGCATGCACGGCCTGTAGTGTTCTACCCGTGCCCCTACTGGTGGTATCCGCGAAGTCCGGCTCATTCATCCATGACTTGGCTGTGACAGCAACACTCGACACCAGCAGCAACACAGACCCGGATGCTTGGTACATGCGTGTAGTACCTGAATGGACAATTAATGAGGAATCGAAACACCCATGAGTTAATATAGTATTCTACCGCACACAGACTCCACACCCACACTGACGATCACAACCACTCACGCGCACACCCACACCCACACTCACACCAACACCCATACCCACACCCACACCCACACCCACACTCACACCCACACCCACACCGACACCCACGACCACACCAACACCCACACTCACGCGCACACTCACGCGCACACTTACGCGCACACCCACGCGCACACTCACATCCACACCCACACTTGCGCCCACCCTCACACACCCACACCGCCATACTATACTCACCCTTGGACTCGGCATTATCCTGCAGGGTCGACTTGACCGTGTAGTACGTGAACTGCATGATCAGCACAATGTCCACACACACAAAGTAGTACGCCGTGATGATCTGGGTGGCCAGCTGATGCGTCATCTTAGCGCCAATCAGATTGAGCGCATCCCCCGCCAACCACTGGAACAGGAACAGCACAGACAGAGACTCGGCGTTGCCGTTGCGGTAGTTTGCTAGCAGCTGCCTGCGTGTGGGGGGGGTGGGGGGGTGGCGGTTGTTGTGAGGGTGTGAGTGCGTGGATCCGCATGTACGCGTGGTTGTTTGGGCTTGTACAAGTGTATGTGAGTGTGTATGAGTGTGCATATGGGTATGTGCAAGTGTATGTGAGTGTGTATGAGTGTGCATATGGGTATGTGCAAGTGTACATGACACCTGTCATCCATTGGCAAGGCATAGAAGCCATAGTGCTTCTGCTTTGTCCTTACAATAGTGTGTCTGTAGATGCCTGTGCAGCTACGTGTGCGTGTACGTATAAGTATGTGAGAGTACGCATAGAGTACTATATATCATACATGCCACCCAAAAAGCGTGTATATATTAAACGTGTGAGTTGTGGGAGTGTACTTTCGTGCGTGTGCTTGTGAGTTTGGCGTTCACGTCATAGTACGAGAACGTTTTGTGGTTGTAGGTATATAGTTTTTTAGGTATTGTAGTTAGTAATGTAGTTTACTGATGGATGAGTGTATATGGCGCTTACGCACGATTGAGCTGTGTATGTGCAGTTGCAAGGTAATATATATA